TTTAGTGCAAATTATTTGGTCTTATTTGATCTTGTCTAATATGATCTGATCAGATTTGAATATAGTTATATATAAAGTTATTTCTGATGTGATGTGATATGATTTAATTGATTCCAATAAAAATAAATAATAAATAATCAAAATAAGTCAAAGAGAACAAGTTTTATTTGAGTACAGTAGGTGTTAGAATATAATATTCTTTCTTTCACACTTTTAACTATCAGTTTAAACTTGTAATTGTGTTAATTACTTTGAAATTTTAATAGAAAGTGACAAAATTGAGCAAACAAAATGAATGTGAACTTCCTAAACATCATATGTACGTAGACCAAATTAGAACAAAGTCAACAAATTATTTTTAAAATTTCATTAAAAAAAACTCTTTTTTTAACGAGAACAAACTCCAAAAGTCGTACTACTCCTAATTTTTTAATGTACAAGTCTCTAACGTGTTTTTTTCTTTGTTTATTATTTCTCACTTCCATTTTTTGCTTAAAAACAGTGAGACATATATGAGGATTCATTAGTCCCTCCATCCTTAAAAGAGGATGTCACATTTAATCCAAATGAAAAATATGTTATGAGTTCACACTTTGATAATGTAATTTTCATTTTATGGTTAAAGATGAAAACTAAAGAAAAGTTGAAAGAAAAAATTTAAACTAAAAACTGAAAATTTTATTTCCATCCAAAGTAGAATGGAAAAGTAAACTCAATTTTGGGAGGAGACGAGTAAAAAGGATGGCGTGGGAGTAATTTTAAGGGATAGATTGGAAGTGAAGCAAACATATGTCCGGATTTACCCCACAATCCCAACAATAAAAAGTTGGTATTCCAAAGTATAGTGGTCCAGTCTGAAAGAGCTCTCTGAGATGAGACTCATTCCTTACAAAAATCGGTATCTTTGTTCATTCAGAAGTAGATTTGGACAGAGTTCCCATTCCGAAACAATACCAAACCCGGAATTGCTGATTTTGGAACTGTAACTAAAATCTTTGGGGCACGTAGGGTTAACCGCTATTGGAATCTTTTCCTGCATTTAGATTAATGATTAGATAAGTACAATTGCATTTAGATGAGTATGTCATACCAAAAAAATCAAGTTTTATTATTTACGGAATATCCCAAGAAACGCTGTGATACCATGTAAAAATTTAAAAAATTACTTCTTGAGATTTCATTATGCATTAGAAAACATATATACTATTTACACATATAAGCAGTTTGTCGGTGTTTCTCTGTACTTGTGTTTATTGACTTATTGCTGAGAAACAAGTTTTAGCTTATACGACATCCGTCCCACAAAACATGACCCATTTTGATGCATGTATTCTTGGTTAAATAGTTACACGCTTTGATCATAAATTAAATTTAATCTAAATAAAGAAATGTTATAAAAATTCGATATATCAAAACTAGATGCTAAGATGAATCCAAATATATTAAATTTATATTATAATTCAATATACTTTTCTCACAATTTATAGTCAAAGTATGTAATTTTTTGATCAAATACTATTCAAAATGGGTAATATTTTGTGGGACAAAGGGAGTAAGATGCGTTTAAGCCAAATATTCTTTTGTGGAGTTAAAATAACTTAGATGATAAATAAATCATTTGTAAATATTCATAAATGATGAGGAACAATTTTATAAATAATCTGGTCAAAACGGAGATATAAAAATGTCTTAAAAATAAGTAGCTAAGACCTACTAATTTTTTCTAGCTTATAAGCAATTTGTTATAAGTCAGCTTATAAGCATACATAAATATGTCATCAGCTGACTTATAAGTTAAAAAATATTTATAAGTAGTTCTGACCAGTTTATAAGCACAGAGAAACATTCACCTTATAAGCACATAGAAATATGTCATCTGCTGTCTTATAGATTTAAAATTATTTATAAATAATTTTGACTAGTTTATAAGTATAGAGAAACACCCACTTATGGGCAAGGTTCCTATGACATTGGGAACCAAGGTGCCCACTTATATATGCAGATAATCAAGGAAGTATTGTAAATACTTACACAATATTGTTTAAATTTTTAGAATGTTTAAGCCAATTATATTCTACAACGAAAGGAAAAGAGAAAGAAAAAAAGATGGCAACTTTTTAGGTAAAATGGAGTACCATGTGGAAGAATGAATTCTGGCATTGCTTTGCATTTCTTTAGTTGTTTTATTTTTTTCACCATTAAAATTTTCAAACTTTCTAGTTGGCATAGAGAGAGACGTTTACAGCTTTCCAACCCAACACTATGATATATAACGTCTTGAGGACAAAGCCACATGACAATTGATTATTATGAACTGAAGTTACGTTATTGTAACTTTATTTTGCATGTTTTCAATAGTACCAATTAACAATGAATAAATATAGAAGAAAATAATTTTTTCCCAGAATATAAATATAGATATTCGTTTTCCTAGAATATAATTTTTTTAAAATTTTTTTTTGACAATCTAGAGTGTTGAGTTTAATTAAAATATGTCAACCCAAAAAAGATACGGGGGGAGGGGGGTTATATTGTAATGCAATACTTTTCTTAAATTTTATGAAAATTAAATTAAAAAACTTTAAGAGGAAAAAGAGAGGGTATATATGCATTATTTAAAAAAAAGGTTGAACCCCACTCTCAGGGTCTTTTAATAACGGCTCGGACAGTATGGTGGAGGAGATGAAAGGAGTTATAATCTCAATTTAGTTGAAAAAGAATGGGTGTGTTCATGGTACGTACAAGAATCTTATGTATATATAGCATAGTCGTATGATCTTTATCGATGTTACCATCCAGTCTCTCTATAGCACTACCGTATTACCCTCTCGAGTAGCTAATCTATGTCCTGGACTCCCGGACACTGTATATGCTCTATTTATAGAGCAATGCTAGGGGTACTCCATTTGTACATCAAACATAAAAAATAAATGTACACAGACACTCCATATTTGTACATGTTTGCGTGTGTACGTTTTTTCTTGGAATACAAAAGAAGTGTCTCACTTTAGTGTACCCTTATTGTATTTATATTCTAAAGGGCGCACTCCATAAGGGCAAAAATCACCCCTATAAATTGTTCTCCTCTTCTTCTTCCTTTTTTTTCTTCCACTGGATCTGTGTGCTTTTTCCATCCATGTGTTTGCTCTTTACATCACATGGCCTCTCTCCTCTGATCTCATCCCAAACCATATATATGCACTTTTTCTCCATCTCCACCATTTATTCCCATTCTTCTCTTTTTCTTTTCTTTTTTCCTTTCCTTTTTAATTTTCCTCCATACATCTGATCTTTTATATCATCTGATCTTTTACTTTCCCCACTTCCATTTTACCGTTCTTACAAGCAAAGTAACTATTACTCATTCTTCTCCTTTTATCTTTTTTGATATTGCAACTGCATGTAATACTCCGTACAAGTATTAGTTTAATTTGCAGCAACATCTTTTTTTATTTTTATGTTTTATTGTCTATCTAACTGTTTTCATGCATATCAAACATGTTTACATTTCTAAATTCGAAATGTGTTCTTATAGACGTTCATTCCTATCGACTCATTTGTTTTAGTCTAGTTGCCCGTATGGAATACATATATCCAACGTTCTGTGGCCCATTTAACCCAATTGTTCGCCTGAAAGTCCATACCCAGCGACCCGAGATCCTTTAGGTGCTGCTGATCAAATATCCATTTAACGGGGATGAGAATCTATTTACATGTGGTCAACCGGTTAGATTCAAAATGACTCGGTTGTCTACTTGAAGACTGTTAGTGATGATCCCACATTAAGAATTTAAGAGTAAAATAATCAGTATATAATCACTTAAATTAAACTAACTAATCTATTAGATTTAATCTTTTAATGTGCTTCAGTCCAAGTGTTTTATGACTCTGTTCAGTTATCTCTACTTTTTTCTCTTGACAATTGAATATTTTGAATGGGCCGAGAGAAAAAACAAATCTGAAATTCGTTCATAGACAGGAACCGTCGGAAGCCCTTTTTGAAGCCCGTTAAGCACAAGCCCATATTATTGGACTTTAAAGTAGGAGTGGAAACAAAACCAAAATGAAGAAGACAAAGAATTAAATGGGTCAACGCAATCCAATTGGATCCTCAAGCTGATATCGATAAAGGTGTAAAAACAAAAAAAAAAGTTTGAGAAATGTTCGGTCCAACCTCAGTCACCGTCAAATTTCGGTGTCAATGTATACCATTGACAAAAATTTTCACCTATCATCAATCTTGAAAATATGCTTTTAGACTATAACTCGTATCTACATACTTTGAAATTATATTTAAATGATTTTCCGTAATTCATTTTTATTACTTATTTTTATTACAATAATCTAATAAGATCTTAATACAATCAAATTTGTTCTAATGGGTTCAGATGAAAAAACAAGTTCATATTCTAGTTTTGGCAAAATTTACATGGGGTGGTTTCCATGACATTACCCAACAATGTCATGGGATGACCAGGGTTCACTCCGGTATCTCATTCGTAAAATTGACGGTTCCTCCTCCCTAACCTCCCCGGTAAATCCTCTCATCCCGCCACGACCTGGACACACCCCGTCATCCCTTCAATTGCACCTCACAAGTTGATTTTGATTTTGGAGTCAAAATTTGACTCCAAAGTCAAAATCAACTTGTTGGGTGCAATTAATGAGATTGGCAGGATGTGTACGGATCGGAGCGTGGTGTAGGATTTACCAGGGTAGAAACCATCAATTTTACAAACGGGGCACCAGACCGCCCTCTGATCACGCATGACATGGAATTCCATGTCATGGAAACCCACCGAATTTACATATTCATTGAGCTAAATACTTTTTGGTATATGCTAGGGGTACACCAAAGCTGTACCCCAAAATGTACATCACCCTTTTCTTTACCATTCATTTTATTTTGTTTTTAATTTTTATTTTTATTTTTTTGAATTTTTCTTGCTTTGCGATTGAGGGGATGGAGATGTTTGGGGTACACTTTCAAGTGTACCCATAGCATTTTCCATACTTTTTTGTATCAACAAAACATTTTAAAAGAACAGTTCATAAGATGATTCTCTATATTCTCAAAACATTGGGCGATATTCCAGAACCATCCAATGCAATCTCAAACAAATCTCCGTCCGATTCCAGATCATCGTCGTCAACTCCTCGTTTTACGCTTCTACTCTTTGCGCCTTCGCCGATCATCAGCCACTCTGAATCGATTCTCCCCATGGAGAAAAGCTCTCTGCTGTCTTCTCCGCATCCCAAACCCGAAGAAGAAGAAGGGCACTGCTCTGTCATGGTTAAACACGGGTTCGGAGTCCGGCGAAGATTCGCCGGGGCGTATTTGAAATGGGTTTGGCCCAGGTTCACTGACACCGTGACGTCGGCCTCATCTGCGGCGGCGCCGGTGGCGGCGGATATGGTGGGGTGGAGCGGGCTCCCGAATTCCTCCGACTCGCAGTGGATTTCGTACAACAGATTTGAGTCCACTGTGAAGAAAACTTTCTTTTGGGCGGTGTTGTATCCAATCCCTATCACCTTTCCTGCTCTTCCCCATCTTCTTGAATCACTTTCCCCCACTAGTCTTGTCCCTGCACAACCCTTCATAATTCAGAAATGTTCCAAAAAGAAATACTTTTCCTCCGTCCCAAATTATTTGTCACATTTGTATTTTCGAGGCAAAATATCAAGTTTTTTCAATTCATTTTATTTACATATTGGTAAAGAAATAAAAAATAAAGTTCACATATAAAAAAACTACATGAAAAGTTCTTCGAAATAAGAGGTATCAAGAATATTTTATTTTATCAAATAATCAATGAAAACATCGAAATAAACAAAAGTTCCCGACACTGCTGAAAAAGCAAATGTTGTGAATATTTAGGGACGGAGGGAGTATTGGTTTAACTTATGGCATAATTGTTTACTCCAATATGTAAATAAAATGAATTGAAAAAACTTAATATTTTGCCTCAGAAATACAAATGTGGCAAATAATTTGGGACGGAGGAAATAAATAAGAAGATAATAATAGTGTGGTTCACATCATCACTTTTTTCTCCATATAAATCACAATTTCACATTTCATTTTATTTAAAAGGTGCAAAGTTAAACAATGATCAAAAGTATGAAGGGAGTAACTATGGAGTACTTTTTGTCAAATGAAGTCAAATGAAGTCTATTCACAGTTCAATATAGGGTGAGATTTTTTAAGTGCAGGAGTTGACTTTGACCATCAAGCACTTTTTCAAACTGGGAGATTTTAGGAATTAAAGCATACCAGCAAGAAAAACAGAGGCATTAGAATTGAATCCAACAGAGCCCGGATATGTCCCCGGAATCTTCGCCGGAGGATCGCCGGCTCCGGTTAGCCCGACGCATAATCCGACAAAATCTGTCCTTTCCGTTAGAATCCCATTTCCTTCGTCGTCATCATTCAGATTTTCAATGCCATTGTTATCAGCAGCTGCATTTGTATTCTCATGAATGAGCTTTATTTTCTCCCCTTCTGATTCTTTTCTCTTCCCAATTGGTTCTTGATCCATGAAGGACAAGATTGTAATTTCAAAATAGGCTTCTTCTGGGAAAGCCAAAGTCCCCAATGGTGGGCCAGGTAAGGGCAGTATGGTCTTCACAATTGTTAAAGAACCACCCCTTTGACTGTTTTTTATTTTCCTCGAGGTCCCTGAATTTTTTCGAAATTGGATTTTCTGCACGCCGTCTTGGGAGGCCTCCCGAGTTATATCCACCTCCATTCGACTCCCCTGATCGCCGCCGGGAATTTTCTGACGGCGCCCGAACAGAGACATGCCTCGCCGGACGCTCGTCGGCGATGAAGAGCAGGCGACGAATCCGAACCCCGACCACCCATTTTCGACGGCGTCGGTTACGAAGGAGGGGTGGTCAGCCCATCGGAAGATTGGATTTTCCGGCGGCCCACGCAGGGAAACGAAGTAGTTTGTCTTCTTGTCGCCGTTTTTATCCAGACGATGAAGGGTGACGCGATGATGACGCAGGCCCTTTTGCTGGATTAGACGATCGCTGCTTTTATGGCGGCGGGGGCATGAACTTAGGAAGATTATGATGATCAGAAGAGAAAGCAAAACTCCGCCGGAAACCGCCGCAAGTGGGAGCGTTACCCATTCTTGCATATCTTTTATGTTTTAATTCTTCTGATTATTTTTATATTCTGTCAGTAATATGGAACAGCGGCAGAAAGAATTAAGAGGCCCATGGGCCAAGAGAAAAACCCGAATATGGTTCTTTCCCAATTATTGCCCCCACCGGTTTGGTCTAGTTTGAAAATAAGGTTTTTTTTATTAGTGTTAGTATTTTATACCACGGAGTATACAATTTTAATGATATTGATTAATTCTGAAAATATTAAGATTAAATGTTACTATTGAATATCTTTTTCAAAGCGCTAATGATAATCTCTAACGCTAATACCATACGGGGTCATTGTGTGTTGCCGCCACCATCATCTCCAAGAATGTCCTTTATCGGATGGACATTATCCACTTAGCCTAAAATATTTTTATCCATGAAAAAATAATGTCCATAGTACTTCAATTGCTCTCTACTATCTATTTTCCTTGGAATCGTAATGTCTTCGGTCTAATGATATACTTTGTATAAGCATTATTCACTTTGTCGGATTTTCCATAATATTTTAATGTCTTTATATTACAGTATAAATGAAAAAAAGACAATAAAGATGAAAGAGAGTGAGATTATATTTAATTTCCTTTTATTAATGAAAAAACGATACACATAGTGTTTAATGTCCATAATCAAAGTTCAAGAATAATTTTCAATGACTTCGTTAATAATTACCAAGAGAAACCCAAATATATAAAAAAAAATTAAAAACTACATTATATTGGACAAAATTGATTAAAGTATTTGAAAGCAAAAGCAATCGGATTTATCCTCCCTCCAAAAAGTTGTACATGAATGTCTGTGTTCAAGATTTCATGATAGTCATTCCTGTCAAATGACTATGCCAACACATATTTCTGTAGAGTATTAGATAATTCTGAAGTACGGAGTATTAGTTATTGATCTCTGAATTTGTTTTCGATTGATAAGCCATGTCTAGTTTGCCGCAATGTTTGTTTAGATATTTTTTATGTGCAAGATATAAAAATCATTCTTGTGTCTATAACTACAAATTTGGACGTTTGTTGAATCGGTTCTTTGATAAGATTTATTTTGTTTTTATTTAAAAAATTAATATGAATAAGGGCTAAAATATATTGAGTATGAAACTTCTACTACTCGAGGTAACATATAACTTCTAATGTATCGTCTTAATAAAAGAGTTGCACTCTTAATAGCATTTCCAACCATGCTTGTTATATGTATTTGTTATTTTTTACATTATAGTAATTTCAAGTGAATAATGATATATCAAGCACTTTTTTATTTCATTCTCCAACCATCATTTTCTATTTTATTTTTTAAAGTATTGGTTTGGTAAAGTTTGAGGAGCTTGTTATATTTAGGCCTAGAGCTGGCAAATCGGTCGATCAGTTCGGGTTCGGTCACTTCAAGTTCGGGTTATTTTGGGTTCGGGTCAATTCGGGTTCGGGTTGAGAACTGTATGTTCATGACCCAGTGTCATCGGGTTCGGGTCGACCCAACGGATTATGACTTTGGTTTTTTAAATTTTTAAAATCACATTAACGCTTACATTTTCTATTAGATAAATTTAAAATATCAAAAAAAAGTATTAAATCTATAAAATTATTTTATTTTAAACTCTAAAGTAGTTTTTAGATATATAAATCAATATAAGGAATTTAAAAATGCTTAAGTTTTGGAAAAAAGTAAGATAATTATGCAATATCATTAAAATTTTGTCTGAAAATATAAATTTATACACTAAAAACGAGTAAAAAAGTGTATAATTTTGAAAAATTCTTACTATAGCGGGTCGGTCGGATCGGGTTCGGGTTCGGTCGGGTTTGACCCATTTTTAGCGGGTCATTTCGGGTTCGATCAACTTCGGGTTCGGTCATCAAAACCTTTGTTCAAAACCCAGTGTTTTCAGGTCGGGTTTCGGGTCAAAAACAGGTCGGGTCACTTTTTGCCAGGTCAATATTTAGCAAGTTAAAAGTCATTTTTGGCAACCTTGCTAAAATAAAGCATACCCTTTGGAGAATCTCCTACCATGCTTACTATATTGGCTTGTAATTTTTATATTTTAGCAAGTGAATAGAGGTATAACAAGTAACTTTTTGTTTCATTTTTTAACCATGAGTTGCTTATCTATTTTTCAACTCGTAGCTTGCTATATTTTGGAGAACTTTTTATATCTAGCAAGCCAAACTCATTCTTTAGCAAGCTTGTTATAATATAAAACAACCATTTGAGATGAGAAAAAAGATTGGCCTGCTATATCATACTCCCTCCGTCCTAATTCTTTCTTCCCAGTTTGACTTTTCCCTATTTTTAATTTTTGGCTTTGACTTTAAATTTTACCCTCCTTAAAAAAGATTTTTTAAAATTTTTTTTGCAAGCATTCAAAATATAGAGTTAGAAGATAATTGGTGTAAATACATGAAGGTATTAATGTCATTTGTCATCTTTTTTTTCTAATGGGAAGGTAGTTTTAGGACGGGGAAAAGGGGAAGTAGGAAGAAAGTTTTAGGACGGAGGAAGTAGCTTTTAGCAAGGCAAAAAGAAATGATTGGAGATTATCTTAGCTAGCTATATTATAACTTTTAGCAAGCTAAAATGTTATCGTTGGAGATGCTCTATGAACAATTTAAATACTCCCCCGTGGCCAAAAAAATTGGCTTAGTTATTATTTCGGACGTCCGATAATTTTTTTTGGTATATTTTTTCATAATTCATTTGAGAAAATGAAATATTATTTCTACGTTTTTTTGTAGAATTTCTAATTTAATTTTAAAATTTATAATATTAACATTTTATTTCCTTAAGCATTTGTAAATAAATGAATTTAAAAAGCTGATAGAAATATAGAATAACAATTTTTTTTTGGAGACGTATAGATCATTCCATACTCCGTATAAAAACAAAAAGAATACGTATGTTTATATGATAATAGCCATAGAGCTAGCAAGATTATATATGGAGGATGTATAGTACACGGCGAGGGAGAAGCGATGTCCTACTTGGGGGTGGCGCACGTGGCAGCTACCTAGCTCGATCACCGTCGTTTGTTCGGCCACCTGATAAGTACAACCTTTGCCGACAAACCCATCACATCGCCAACTCCCCGCCATCCCCGCCACCGCGAGTGTCTCTCGGGATCCAAATCGGCCGGTGAGTGTTGCACAGTCGGCATAGGATCTTTGCAAGTACTTAATGTGGTGCAGACTCCATTCTTTACCTTCAATCTACTATCAAAATCTGATGTATCATCTCTCAGTGATCATTCGGTCAGGCTAAAGATGTCCTAAGGAATGAGACTCATCTTTTTTCGTAACTCAAACCAATTTTTTTTTGTTTGTGTGTTTAAGTTCCCACTTAAAAAAATAAAGTACCATTAGCATAAACTTTCCTTGTCTCAAATTATATTATGATTTCATTTGCGAGATAAAATTATGATTTTTTAAGATCAATTTATTTAAAAATCTATATAATAGTAATTTAAAAAATACTCGTATATATTTTAAAGAATTATATCGTAAGTTCTAAAAATCAAGATGTGACAAAAGTATTTTATTTTATCAAATAATCCGTGAAATTACATAAACAAACAAAAATTATCAAGGTGTATATATATATATATCCCAAAAAATTATAATCCAAATTTGGACGGAGGGAGTGTAAAAAGGTGAAACATTATTCATCAACAAAAGCTTTTGGGGGTAATTGTGGATCTTTTTTTTTGAACAAAATGCACTTCTCATTAAAAAGCCTTGTAGAGACCATCCTGTTAGACAATAATAATAGTATTACTTGTGGTAGTATTGGTTGTGGTAGTATTTCATTATTAGTCAGCTTCCTAATCCTATTTGTGGTAGATGTTGTATGTTAGTTAGTTTCTATTCTATATTCCTAGTTGTGTTAGGAGTCTCTCCTATATATACTCTATCATGTACTTCATAATTCAAGAGAGCAATATTATTATTCTAATATTTCAACATGGTATCAGAGCCAGTTTTGAATTCTTGAGACCTCAAACACACTTCTTCCCCTGCCGGTGGGCATACACAATTCGATGCCTACCGGCGGGATATTGTGATTTTTTTTTATTGTCCTCCCTCATTCTTGAAGAAGTGGTCGGACAAGGGTTGTTCTTTCACCACATCACGTTCAGGGATCTCTTCTTTCAAGGCATCGAGATCCGAGAGAATAGTTGCCACATCATCAAGGTATTGTGTCATAGTTTTGGTACCTTTACGAAGAGTGTGGAGTTTGTCCCGAAGCTGATAAACATGAGCGGTGGACACGGAGTTGTACCGTGCGGCCAAAGCATCCCAGAGGGCAGCAGATGTGGTGAAGCCGCGAGCATGTTTGTGAACGGAGGGGCTGATGACTGCTAGGAGGCAGGCGCGGATCTGTGTGTCAACGATGGTCCAGGAGGTATACTCAGGATTAGGGACGGTTTTATCGTTTTTGGAGATAGTTGGCGCCGGGGCTGCTTCATGACCATCAATCCATCCAAGGAGGAGATTAGCTGAAAGAGCTGTCTGGACATTGAGAGACCATGCCGGATAATTTGTTTCGGTGAGTTTTTCTGAGATTAAGTTGTGGAGACTCCGAAGCAAAAGTTTTACTCCGGATGGTAAGGACGCCAAAGGATCCGACGGGGCTGCCATGATGGGCGGCGGTCGGAAAAAAAGAGAGGCTAGGTTTTTGAGAGCTTTAGCTCCGATACCATGATACAATTTGATAATAACTTGTCTTATTGAATATTGAGAGATATGGCCCTATATATAGGGAATACAAGAGTAATCAAAGTACAAGTAGGAAAGGAAAGAATAATCCTAGTAGGAAAGGAAAGAAGTATTCTAATTTAATTATACTTCCTAATACTCCACCTTTTACAACTCAACACATTACGAATTACAGAAACTTGTCAACACCTACAAATATCAATAATAGCCCTAAACACATACTCCTTTCCCCTTCATATATACGGAGTATATCTCTGTTTGGTATATAGCCTTTTGGGCACATTTAGATGGGTGAATTCCCTGGTGTAAAATCCGTGCAAGGCATTCATTTATATGTAATTCAAATATACATTTTTCCAAATAATGCCAACCGGATTTGGCTAATCCGTTTGGAGGTATTTATTTCCCCAAACGGATTAGGCTAATCCGTTCCACTCATTTAATTACCAAACGGATTAGCCTAATCCGTTTTGTTTTAATTTTTTTAAATAATTTCTTAATGTACGGAGGTCATTTCCCCATTTGTTGCATAATATTTTTTCTTTAAACTTATTTTAGTTATTTTAACTCCACTTTTATAAATTTTTTTAAAACTTTTTTAACTTTATTTTATAAAAAAATTGTATTAAAAAATTTTTAAATTTTTAGTTTATGAATGAAATCAATTTACTTTTGTTACTTTTAAATTATTTATAAGAAACTAAATTAATTACAAAATAAAGGAAATATACATAAAGAATATGTAATTTAATAATTTTATTACTAGAGTGCACATAACAATTTATTCATAAAAAGATGAAGCCAAAACACAATCCATCCATGACAAACTTATTTGGAAAATCTAATAATCCATAAACTCATACGTAATTGAACTTAATGACACAGCTTTTCCTCGTTACGATGCCTCCATGGTCGATAGTCCATGTTATTCTGATAGCGGGTTCTCGTACGTCGGCCGGTTCGTGTGGTCTGTCGTGGCGTTGGCCTCAGGATCTCGTACTCCGGAGTAGGCCATTCGAATTCATCTGGTAGCGGCATAATGATGCCAGAGTAAGCGTTGATGTAAGACTGAATTGAAAAAACATTTGGAATCAAATGGTCCACAGTGACACTACAGTAATGACATACTGCGTGGACATGATTGCACAGGAGGTGAAATGTAACCCATTTACCATAGCTACATGTTCGTGCATTTAAGTTCACCGTAAATGTCTCCCGCTGCGCAATGTTGGACGACCCATCCACCACCACAGAGTATATCCCTGCTTGTGCGTGGTGCTGCACAACACGACAATACAACCTATTTTCTTCATTTTCCCTAATATGTTTCCAAACATTCATGGGAAAAGTGTACCCGGATTGCTGTCTTACATATTCATTGGGTCGTCTCTCAGCGAAAAGTTTTACTAGCTTATCATAGGTGAACTGCACAATGGCATATACTGGCAAACAACGACAACCTTTAAGGACATGCATTAAGAAAAATTATTTTTAAAAAAATTAATAAAAACAACTATGAGCTCCATGCATTAATAAAAATTATTTTAAAAAAAATTAAAAGTGAAACGGATTAGCCTAAAAGTGAAGTTAAAATAACTAAAATAGTTTAAAAGAAAAAAATAAATTGGAACAAACAACTATGAACTCCATGCATTAAGAAAAATTATTTAAAAAAGAATTAATAGTGAAACGGATTAGCCTAATCCGTTTTGTAACTAAATAAGGGAAACAGATTAGGCTAATCCGTTTTGTAATTAAATAATTATTTTAAAAAAAATTAATAGTGAAACGGATTAGCCTAATCCGTTTTGTAATTAAATTTACTTAAAATTTTCGACTCGAAACGGAGTAGCTAAATCCGTCTTGCACTGTGAGGAAAAAAATGTCTGACTTACACTTCTAGGGATGGAAAATTTATTATTTACATATGTTGGTAAATTACTCCATTTAGATACCATGGTTCTTCATTCCTATGCAAGTAATGATTCCTAGTTCTCCATATATTGTAGCTTACTGCAGCAAATAGGGCAGCCTGTGTATTCCTCTTCTTCCCATTAGAAGTTTGCAAAATATTTCTCCCAGTGTCCCCAACTGTCTCTCCCCAATAACAAACACCAAATCTTTTGATGATCTCTGCTCTAACCAGCTTGGTAAAATCACAAGTACAAAACAGATGGTTAATGTCTTCAATCTAACACTTTGATTATTATTTTTGGTCTACTAAAATTTTAACCTGGCATCAGAGGAGGTTTGGCTTTGAGGCAAATATTTCGAAGGCTCTATTCTTTTTTGTTGAAATTTTAGAGTTTGGTGTTAAAAAAAATGGAAGGAGTTAGAAAAAACTGGAAGGTGCTGGAAAATGTAGGAAAAATGTAAATGTTAAAGATCACTCAATTAAAAATTGCCCAAATAAATATGTTAATTTTTTTAAAAAAATTCCATTACAAGAATATAATCTTTCACTTTTCTTTAACTATATGTCTAATTTTTTTCTTCATAAATTATAACCATATTTTTTTACCTTAGATTCTATAATTGGTTTCTTATAACATGAATTGTTTTATATTTAGTTTTTTATTATCTAATATTTTGCTCGTGGTGCTTCTTTTATAGGTACTTTTTTACAAATAGTCTTTTTTATCTTCTAACATAATACTGTTAATTTAAATGCTAAAAGTGTACTCTAACATCAATTTTATGTCCAGTAATATAATGTATTCTGTGTATGGTTAGATGAGAACACACTAATAATCACAATGACTCTGAATCAAGATTCCGATGAAAAATTACATTTTTAGATTATGTTTACAGGCTTGTAGTAGACAACGTGTGGAATTCATAAACAATGTATCAAGAATGGCCCATGGAATTGTATAGGACATTAATACTCAAATTAAGACCAACATAACATAATATAAAAATAGACTATTTGTAAAACAATTATGAACGTAATATTTGATAATACATGACCAAATATGAAAAACTTTTTAGTGTAAAGAACTAATTATAGAATTTAACTTTTTTTAAATTTGAAACTTTAGGATTTTTGAACGAAATAGGGTGACAATAAGAGCACTGGAAATACATATAACGTGATGGGGGTTTGATTTTAACACCCGCAGCGTTAAACCCCACCCCTCCCCTGTTATGGCACCATCATCTTCCCTGCGTCAAAAATTTGACGCGCGTCAGAGTCAAAAATTAGGTCGTTGGAACCCCCCCAACGGCTATAATGCCGTTGGCATTAAAAAATTTCCTCTCATCCATAAATTCAATCTATTTTTTAAAAATCTAATACACACCAAAAATACAAATCTCTCTCTTCTCTTTCTTAAAAAAACTATTCAACTATATATTTTTATTTTTAACATGAATCCATTGAGTTTTAACGTTCTTTCATCCTTTCTTGAGCTAAACGAGAAAGCGATGTACAATTTTCAATCATACGTGAGTAATTCATTAATGTATGAAATGCAAACCTTGGTAAATCTCGAGGACCCGGAGTCAGTTCTGGAGACTCAACCGGGACCTAGTGCACTAAAAAAATGTTATGGATAGTTGAGTAGGGTATTTAATATTATTATTATTATTGTCATTATTATTATTATTATTATTATTATTATTATTATTATTATTATTATTATTATTATTATTATTGTAATGTAGATTTTATTAGGTGAGCGAAATTATAAGCTTCTTCGAGGTTTCTTTACGGTTCTTTCCCTCGTCGCTTTTATTAAACCGTCAGGTTAGCATTAGGGTTTCCTTCTTCCCTATATAAAGAGATGTAACCCCTTTAGAGTTAATCAATCAAAAAACAACTCAAAACCCTAATTCCTTCTCCCCTCTCGGTTCCCGGTTCCCTCTTCGCCTCAATTCTTCTTCTTCCTCGTCCCATATTCTCAAGAGCTTGAAGATGCTCTAAGTCTTCCCTATCCGATACGAGTTCGTATCATTGGTGTTCTTGTTGAGAAACCCTAACGCTAACCTGACGGTTCAATAAAAGCGACGAGGGAAAGAACCGTAAAGAAACATCGAAGGAGCTTATAATTTCGCTCACCTAATAAAATCTACATTACAATTACAATAATAATAATAATAATAATAATAATAATAATAATAATAATAATAATAATAATAATAATACTACTACTACTACTACTACTACTACTACTCCCTCCGTCCCAAAAAGATTTACACGTTTCAAAAAAATCGCGTCCCACAATCCCTTACCCATTTCTATTAAAAAACCACTTTTACCCCTTACTTTTTTCAAACCATATCTATAACATCATACCTTTTTCCTAATAATCTACACATCACATCACACTTTTACCCATCACATCAAGGGTATTTTTGGAAAGTCAACACAAAATTATCTCTCCCTTAATTTCTACTTTAGTCAAAACGTACCCATCTTTATGGGACGGAGAAAGTATTAAATACCCTACTCAAAAGTGGACCCTGGAGGAAGGATCGTTGTTGGCGTGTGCTTGGGTTGACTTCTTCGAGTATTCTATCATTGGTAATCTTTATTTGCTTTTTAATATATATTGTATATATGATATTTTTTATATATTTGTCTTAAAATATTTGTTTCCTTCGATTATGTATTTCTTAAATGTTTCGAACAAACAAAGGATGCAATCTGGGATCGTATCGAGGAGAAGTTCTTTGTGGCAATGAACAAAAACGCCTCATACCAAACTCGAGACCAACTCACTTCCAAATGAGACAACATCAAGAGTAAAGTCTGAAAGTTTATCAGAGTTTACGAAGAATGTTCTCGGTCGCAGAACATCGGGACAAATATTGACGATGTTCTGCGACAAGCCACCGCTCGGTATCAAGACGACGGACACCAAGGCAAGGTCCCCATTGATCTTTGGAGAATTTTTTGCCGTTCACCAAAATGGCAACAACTCAATAACCCCTAAGACGTATCGTCAAAGAAAAATCTTCGCCGAGGTTGAGACCGATGACGACTCCGATGACGAGGACCCCAT